AAACAGGTCTCCCTCATGCCCCAAATCTGGACACTAATGGGAAGTATGAATGAAAGAACAATAGATAAGCCACTGCTCATGTTCTGTTACACCAATGTTAAAGCTGTCTGCACGGCGACACTGCCAACAGGATCAAAGCATGTTTCTAGTGTTTCATGTGATCATTGGGGGCCTCCCTCATTTTAGGAAGGGATTATAACTCCCTCCTAACTGCATTTGGTGATTAGCCTGGAAATCATCTTTGGGGCACTGGAGAAGAGAAACCAATTCGTCCTCTGATGTGTCGCTAGATGTTGCTAAACACAAGAGGCAGCTTCAGGTTAAACAATCGGGAAAAGTTCACAAGTATTGCTTAGAAGCGATGCCCACTAAGGGAACTCAGAATATTAGTAACATAAAAAGCTTAGGAGATTTTGGTAAAAAGGAGGGACACGTGTACAGCACCACCAGTTGTGATAAGGGCTGTCCCTGAGCACTGGTGGGTGTGTGTGTCTATCCCACTCGGCCATGTGCTGTGTGAGACTATGTGTGCAGGCTTTGTCACTGCAAGGCACTGGCTACTCTGAGCAAAGACACAGCTGGGTGTTGGAACTAGAGCAGTACTTGGCACAAGACTAATGCATGGAAATTACTCCATGTGGTTTGCTATATGTAAAATTAATACAAATCTCCTGAAGAGAGGCGCCCTTGCCCTGCCTTCCATGCTCTGAGTCCCCTACTCAGCCATCTTGCTTAACTGTTGGCACTGCTGCCAGTCTTATGTCACCCTACCTTGCCTATCCTCCCCTCTGCTCTGCCATGGGCGCCACCCGTGCTTGATGTGCTGGTCTTCCACACCGTTCTCACTGTCTGTGTCTCTGTTTAGTGACCATCCCTGCCACCCCTGCCACCCCCTGTGCTGGTCTTCCACACCGTTCTCACTGTCTGTGTCTCTGTTTAGTGACCATCCCTGCCACCCCCTGCCCCCCATGGGAACAGCTAATGGTACCTGACACATGGACAAGCTGCTAATTGTTACTTCTTCTGGAGATAACTCCCATTTTTAAGATAATGTCCCCAAACAATGTCACTGAATGCTGTATTAATTTAGTATTCATCCAGTTTAGCTTTTCCTTTATAGATTGGAAAGCTGCAGCGTCCCAATCTCGTGGGTGCTTGGAAGTGGCAGGTCTAGCTATCTTGTCCCCCTGGCCTGGTCACCTGTGGTCAGACCTGGGCCCCATGCAGAGGAGGGGGCTCTGACACCTACTTCACTGCTCTAGCCCTTGGCCCTCTCAGACCTGCCCTGAGCTGGGGCACAGGTGGCCTGGCACTCTCTGTCCGGAGGAACCAAAACTCTTTCCTTTAGTAAGTGGGGTAGGGGCACATGGAGACATTCCAGTGGTGACCTGCCATAATTGTGGAAGGAGGGAGTATAGTTTGATGAGTATCTACGGCATCAGGAAGAGGCCAATAGGCATTTACTAAGGGATCATCATGTGGCCAGGACTGTGATAAGTGCTTCAGAGGACACCAAAAATAAATATATTTTTAATTTATGGTGTCTGTCCTGGAGGAATCCACCAAATAACCAGGGACATGAAACATATACAATTAAAAAATGAGAAAACATAAGATAGTATATAATCAACTGTCAAATTGTTTTATACTGACTGTAAATGCTATAAAAATTCAGAGACAGTATAGTTTAATATAGATGAAAGAAATTAAAACAAAATACTTTTGAAGGAAATAGAACGTGACATCAACTTTTGAGGTCATGAGGTTTCTTTGTGACTGGTCAAAGGGATGCTTCCGTTGTAATATCGGCACAAGCAAAGACACTATGTGAGGAATGAGCACAGAGCGAGGATGGGACAGTCAGGGGCCCTGTCGATTGTAATGGAAACTAAATGGGAAAAACTTCTCTGGCTCTAATAAACGTGACTGCTGTCTTAGTGCTGATCTAAAAATTAAAACATTAGAAGAGTTAGAAGAGATATGGACAGCTGTGCCTCAGAAAAGCATTATAAATAGACGACACCACAACGAGATATAATCTCCTCCTTAAGAAAAAGTTTCCAGAGAAGGGGACTCCAAAATAGTCTTCCTTATGCTGTTCATTATGTTACCAAAAACAATAGCATCGATGATGGGTCAGAATTCACACTTATTACCTGATACATAATCAGATTATTAAAACTACACAGAGTGACAGGACATGAATTTTTATTAAAAGTCTTATTAATATGATGAGCTAGTTAACAAGTTGGCCAGTTCACTATTCAACTCTAAGAATGATGCGCATCGATGATGGGTCAGAATTCACACTTATTACCTGATACATAATCAGATTATTAAAACTATACAGAGTGACAGGACATGAATTTTTATTAAAAGTCTTATTAATATGATGAGCTAGTTAACAAGTTGGCCAGTTCACTATCCAACTCTAAGAATGATGATTCAACTCTAAGAATGATGCTTGGGTGAAGTCACGCATCTGGACTGCTGGCCGTAAGGCCCAAGCTGGCCTGCTTCTATGTCAGCTACTAGGTTAGGCACATTTGAACCTACTGGGCTGCCACAGTTTCTTTCCTGATATCTTCAGACCTAGTTTGGCCTTGCTCTCTTGTGGAAGTGTCAGAAGAGGGCTAATGAAGTGTACAGAGTGGTGCAGTAAATTAATCCCGGTTGGGCACTCACACAGAATGACACGCCAGCACACCATTCTCTGACCACTCCCTTATGATAAATAATAAATTGGTAGAGATTCCAACATACCATCAGTACTGTGGATATTAAGATAAAAATCATCAGGGCTGATTCAGCAGAGTGACATTGAATCAAGTAATTATTTGCAGCAAAAAACATACAAACACAAAGCTCATGTTGCTCCTGGCACATCATTTATAAAAGAAAAATCTTTTGTAACCTGCATAACTACCTCAAAATAAAGAAAAAAATAAGTGACTTATTGAGAAAACCTAGTATAGCACAGGAAGGAAGAGGAGAAGGAGGAGAAAGGAGGAAGAAGGGGAGGAGGGGGAAGGAGAAGAGGAAAAGAGAAACATGCTGCAGTGAAAACTCCCTCTGTACCGCTCCTCTGTGCAGATGCACACCAGCTGCAGTACAGCGAAGCCTCAAGTGGCACTGCAGTGTGAGAACGCACACTCAGAGTACTAGAAGGATCAAGTTCCCGTGATGTTTAGACACAATAAAGTACGTGACGATGTAATACCATTGACCAGACCCCAGATTACAAGAAAGATAAAGTGGGTATCTTCAGGATCATAATGTATTAGATCATCCTGTATAACCAAAGATGCAATGCTATCAGCGGAACCTGGAAGTTGCTTAAGTTGTTTTTGTTTTGCCCAGAAATGTTAGCAGCCATGATGAGGTGACCAGTTACAATGATACTAACCGCATCCTCACTGATCAATCACACCGAGAGAGTGAAGCCAGGAGAATGGTGTCATACAGTCTTATTCCATCGAATAATCGAAAGTCATCAACCTCGGCGCAGGGTTACAACCAGCTGCAAGAGCCATTGCTAAAACTGAAGTCACATGAGAAACCAAACTCCTTCGGCGACAATGCAGAGGTGAAAGCTTTGACTGAATTCCAGTATGTCTCCAGAGCCCTCCCAAGTGGTTCACTTAACGCTTTTTCATTCCTGTCCCCAAACAGCTCTCCTCACACTTACCAAGGCCATAATGATGTCGAGGGCAGAACCTGCAGGAGCCTGGAAAGCACTAGAGACTGCAGTTTACATCTTGCAAGGTGCTTGACCTGCTGTCTTTCAGGCCCCGGGAAGTATGATTGCATTAGACTGTGGGCCAAAAAGCTCTTGGAGGTAGGAATAGACTGATCTCCATGATCAACTACGCAGCTCAATGAAAGGAAGCATTGCCCAGACCACTGTTTGTACATGAATGTTAACTTGGCCAGAGTTTCAACCAGCTTGGTTAGTTTAATTAGTTACAATTATAAACACAACTTTAAAATGGCAAGACAAGGTTCTGGATAAGTGCAGCCCACATCCACCTGGAGATCACGAGTATAGACGTATGCATGGGCACCTGCCATAGAGCATGAGCCAACTTAGCACAGAAGGCAGCAGCAGAGGCAGCCCACAAGGGCAGTCTGCAGACCACCGTCAGTATTCAGTGGCTGCCGCTTCATTACTTACATTGATGACCACAAAAAAGAAATAGACCAGCACAGTTTGAATTGGTGTGAAATCAAGACAGAACTATAAATGGCAACAAGCATCTGAAACACTGACACAGGACAGCGACAGTAGAGTGGAAACAAATGGAGGTTCCAGATCAGTGTTTCCAGCAACAACGGAACCAGACCTGACAGCAGCGTTGTTAGTGGCACTGCTTTAGGTAAAAAATAATTTTTCAGAAGTCATGAAGGTTTGCAAGTGAAGGTAATTTTATAGCATAGAAGATCACAAATGTATCCCAAAACCTCTTAAACATTAAAGGAAATGACAATTTATTGCTTTTAATACTTACCCAGCCAATGTTATTTTTGGTGGTCCTGGCGTAGTTGATCCCAAGGAGAAAGCAGACCCATTGACTGCTGATAGTAAGGCTCCATTATCAAGCTGTACATAATCAAAGGCAAGAATATTTTGAATTAGCATGTGTTTTAAAAGTTCCAGCCAGCCACCCCTACGTACAGATCAAAATGATTCTTTTTCTTCTAGAAGTTTACATCACAATCCCTTTAAAACCGTGTCCTATTACCACAATGAATCTACTAAATCCTGAGCCAAGGTCAATTCACAGACCTGCCCACCTGCCAGGTGCCTGGGGGCTGGGAAAGCAGACAAAGGGGCAAGTGTGCAAGGACGCAGGCCACGTGGCCAGCTGGCCAGCAGCACACACAGCTGTCACTTGGCTGGCCAGAGGTATTATAATGGAATACTTTTTCATTTTTATGAACTATCGATTGTGAAATAAATTCACTTACACATTTCCATAAACTAAAATTGTTCTTAAATTATTATTATTATATTTGTAGTATAAGAGGTCTTGACATTTGAAGTCTCATTGGCGACCACTATTTTTTGTCTGTTCAAAAAAAACATTTTGTAGTCAGTTTCAACAAATTCAGAAGTAATGTCCTAATCTCTGCATTATCCACGCTGTTTGCTCTCTCAGTGCTCATTTTTTCCTTTATAGTCCTCACCAGGGTGGCTCACAGAGGCTCTTCACAGGGAAAGGAACAGACAGCAAAACCAGCACTGACAATCTCTGCATTATCCACGCTGTTTGCTCTCTCAGTGCTCATTTTTTCCTTTATAGTCCTCATCAGGGTGGCTCACAGAGGCTCTTCACAGGGAAAGGAACAGACAGCAAAACCAGCACTGATCTAATTTCCTTCTTATCAGAAGCTTGAAGAACTTATAAGTGTTGAATAAAATTAGGTTTTGAGATTATTTGTATATATCACAATTAAACATCCTGTCCTTGTCACCTCCACCTTCCAAAAATGGAAATTTAAAATAAGCTTTATTTAGAAGCATAGTCTTAGAAAAACATACATTTTATTCATCCTCTCCACTTCCTCTCCTGCCCCTTTTCAAATTGCACGTGATCACTGCCTGTTAGGGCTGGAAGACATTGAGAAGCAGCCCTAGGCTCAACTCCCTCATTTACACATCAGAGTCCTGAGACCACAGGCCTCTCCCTGCAGGAGCCCTTTTTCTGTCTGGCTGGGAGCAGTGGTGTGCTCTCCTCTCCCTGCGTTTACAGGAGGGAGTGTGCACTAGCTGAGGCTCATGTCCCTTTCACTGTTATCCAGACATGTGACTGTTAAGCTGATGTCTCCAGATGGCAGTCTGAAGAATTCTGCATTTTTTAGGAGAAAGAATTTCACAATTCTCAGGGTTGAGGCAATTCTTTACATAAACCAGGTAAAATTAATTTTTTTCCCCTTTGCTTATTTAGCCCCAAAGTAAAGCAGGGCAGAGAGATGTCTCGTAGGTACTACATAGTAAATCCAGGGCAACTTTATGCTAGAATCTATGAGTTTCTTCAGCAATGTTTGGTCACCTAGGAGAGAAGAGAGTAAACTCTAAGGCAGGGCTTCTCAGACTGCACTGTGTGCACAAATCACCTCGGGATCTTGTCTAATGCAGATTCTGCCCTCCTAGCAAGCTCCCAGGCAATGACAATGCTTCAGGCCCACGTGTCATGCTTTGAGCAGTGAGGCTGTAAATAATGTACAGAAGTGGGGGTCTGGAAGGCAGCGAGGGGTTCAGGGATGCAGCAAATGCAGTTAAGAGAATTGTCCCTGAGGTCCACACTGTATAGGAAGTCAGGGGGAGCCAGAATAGGGACAATAGTAAACACCATCAAGGAAAGATGGGGAGGAGCTTGTGGTCAAACAGGAGCATTGCCAGTGCGAGCCCTTACAGGTGGGAGAGCAGGCGCAGTGTGTGCCTTCGTGACGGTGGCTGAAACTGAAGAGAAGGCCAGCGACGTGGAAAAGGCCAGCAGGTAGGAGGGTTATGGCAAAACCAGCACAGACCCGCAGCCACCCGCAGCCACCCGTGCCCAGCAGGTCACAGCTCCCACTTGTTCACTCCTGCGCTGCTCAATGCTCACTTGCCTGCCGGCCGATCCCATCACGCATTGTTTAAGGACCAGGATGCGTTCTGAGAAATGTGGCCCCAGGCGATTTCATCACTGTGTGAACATCATAGTGTACTCACACAGACTGAGATGGGGTGGCCTACCACACACCGCCAGCTCCATTATAATCTGATGGGACCACAGTCATATATGCGGCCGTTGTTGACCGAAACATCACTATGTGGCACATGACTGTATTGTCATTTGAGAAATATTTATTTACTCATTCAACAAATATTTAACTGTATCTACACTCACTCCCTTAGAGATCTCATCTATGCACAAGGCTTTAAATGCCGTCCATGCACTGGCGACTCCCAGCTTCATACCTCCAGCCCAGATCCTATTCACTCTGAACTCCGACACCACATCTGCAGATGCCTGAGACACCTCCAATTTACCACGTCCGAACGGAACTCCTAGACACCCTCATGAAACTTGCCTTATCTCATCTGTGTTGATGGAAACTCCACCTTTCCATTTGTGCAGGCTGAAGATCTTGAGGGCATACTTGACTCCTCTCTTTCCCTTACATCCCACATCCAATTCCTCAGCAAGTCCTGTTAGCTCATCCTTCAGAGTATCCTGAGCAGCTTTCTCACCATCACTACTGCTACCACCTGCTCGGAGCCACCATCCTCTGTCACCAAGATTGTCGCAAATGCAGGTTTCCCACTCTCACCTTGACCCCTCCTCCCTGCCAGCCCCTCTTCCAGTGGAGTGAACATTGACTTCCTTCCTGCGACCCTCCCCTTGCTCACTCCATCCCAGCCCCACTGGCCTTCTCACGGTCTCTACAGAGGCATTACCCTACCTGAGGCCTGGGCTGTTCCCTCTGCCTGCAATGTTCTTCCACTCCCTCATCTCTTCAGAGACTGCTCAAATGCCACCTTCTCAATGGAGCTGTGACCACTCTGGTTAAATTTGCAACCGGCTTTCTTCCCCACCAAACCCCCATTCTCCCAATTCCCTTCCTCTGTTCTCCTAACACATGACATAACTTACTTATTAGATATGCTTATTGTCCATCTCCGGCACTAAAATGTAAGCTGTAGGAGGGTAGAGTTGTGTGTTGTGTTTTGTTGGGGGTTCGCTTTTCTCACTGATGTAACCCAAGTGCTCAGACTACTGCCTGCCCTGCTGACGGGTGAATGAATGCTCTCTATGTGCCAGGTTTGTGCCAGTCCTCAGTTTATAGAGATGAACAAGGCACACGCAACCTCTGCTGCCATGGTGCTTGCATTCCCACGGACAGATGCAGACAAAACTATGCAACCAAAAAACATAAGATAGCGACAGTGCTGTGCAGGGAATGAGCGGGGTGCTGTGACTGTCTGGCTGTCTACACTGGGGAGCAGGGAAGGCTCTTCTGGGGAGGTAACATTTTATAGCAAGACTGGGGAGACATCCGTCTTCTAATTATGTGTAATAAGCACATATTGCGGTACAATCATAAAAACAGACTTTAAAAAAGCATTTCCATAGCACTGAGGAAGGTGAGGGATGTTCGGGGCTGTGAAGGACAAGTTCAGCAAATGGGGAAGAACAAGACCGGCTCGCAGAGCTGCAAAGAACGTGCCTGTGACGTACTCATCCTTCCCACGGTGTCTAACATGGTGCACAAGGGTGGGGCACTTGGTAAAGGTCTTGTTGTTGATTTTTACATGAAGAATAAATTATATTTCCTGAGTAATTCCAACTGCAACAATCGAAATTTCAAGAGACAATAATGCCCAACTGTATTTGTTATTGAAACAATGACTCACTTGTGTAATGAGATTTAATTTTGCTGGTACTGGCAAAAATCTTCCTACTAAAGTAGTCATTGGTTTAGGGACATCTGTAAGGAAGACAATTAAAATTAATTGATAGTATAATTGTTCCTCTTCTACTAGTACATGGAAGAAAGTACAAAAATGTACTATGGATTTATCATGAGCAAAGTTACTTAAGCTTATCTTGATCCTATTTATGTTTTTTTATTCTATAAAACCTTTTGGGTCAGTATTTTTTACTGATTACACACATTGGGGTTTTTTTTTTTTTGGTCATAAAGCTACTTGACCTGAGCTTCCAGGGATAGTCTACTAATGCTAAAAAAAAGTGTTGCCAGTGCCAAGATTCCCAAACTGTGTGCTCACCAGGACACCACTGGATATTTTACATTTTCAAAGAAAGCCCAGCGACTTCTGTTGGACACCACAGTGAACTACATTCAATTTATGTGTATTCTCTTTTTCAGATGGTTACTAAGTTGTTAGGATATAAATATTCATTAAGCTATTTGGACCAAAACTACCTAATACTGGAACTGATACGTATTTTTTTTTGGCCTAAGGACACCATGAAAAACATTCCTGAGGTAATAAGTGTGCTGTGAACCTCCATGCTGGTGAGTTCAAGTGAAGGGAGAAATGTGTCTTACTCTCCTGAGGCATCCACCAGGCTGAACGCATTTCCTTCTCTAGACTATGCACCCTTTGAGCAAGGAGACTCAGACTTAGGCAACGGGATGCATTTATTTTATGGTGATGTTTCATATGTACACGGTGTAACAAAGGAGATTGGAGGAGGGGGCTATGATTGTATGACAAAGAAGTTGAACTAGAGAACACTATATAAACTCTCTCCTTCTGCAGATCATAAGGCATCAGGATTTATTTTTTTATTTTTATTTTTATTTTGTCTTTTTTTTGTCTTTTTCCGTGTCTGGCAATGGATCGCAACCCTCAGTGTTGCCCCCGCACCGGACCGGGGACCGGCAACGAGATTGCAACCCTCGGTGTTGCTCCCGCATCTCGCTCAGCCAGTGAGCGGGAACCGGTCTGTATGTGGGATCCGAACCCTCGGGCGGGAGCGCCGCCGCGCTTCCCAAGCGGCGCACTATCCAGTGCGCCACCGGGCCGGCCAAGGCATCAGGATTTAGTCGTGTGCCAGGAGGAAGGGAAATAGGCAAGAAGACCGTCCTGCCTTCAGAGAGGATCACAGATGCAGCACTGACCTACTGGATACAGAACCAGAAAATCTACAGCTGATATGTAGCAAAGGGCTTCTTGAGACCAAGGCCCCAGCTGCTTCACCATGGAAAAGTAAATGTCTTGAAGACATTTCTCTGTCCTTGGATAAAGAAACTATCAGGATGGAATGGGGAGAAAAAGAGTCATTTTGCTTTTGCCCTGGGCTCCAGGGATTTGATATTGGCTTTAAATTATTGACAAGGTCAGTGAATCATCTGACAAAGAAATGTTCTGGTAAACTCAAGATCTACAGTTACATGATTATGTGTAGTCCACCTAGAGATCCAAGTTTTCAAGAATTAGTGTATAACTTTTGTTAAACACAATCCTAAAACTATGGCATTTAATCTTTATTTAATAACTCATAAGGCATCTCAGGATAATCAAGTACGTACAGGTCATTTATTATTATTGTGCTGGTTTAAAGAAGTTTCTGAGTGAATGAATATCAGATAAATCATTTGATAGTTATTTCAGGACTCATGGTGATTAAAGCACAGTGACAGTTCTCACTGATTACATTGAGATGTTTACATTAAAATGTATATCACGTATATCACACCTGAAGAGTCAACCCACCAGGCCAATCTGGGAAAGGCTGATGCTGCAAGCTGGGCACACCCCCTTGTAGAATAACTAACAGAGCCCTGTAGGTGGGAGTTGGGCCCTGTTGGATCACACAGCTCTCTGCAGCTAGCTGGCATGGAGGAGGACAGCTATCCGAGAACTGGAGACACTCAATACAATATCTATAAATTAGTCTATAAAGACACATTATGTTCTATTCTTAGCTCACGAACATGGACTAGGAGGTTAGCCAATTCGCCTGTTTAATAACCTATCTGCCTATTTACTTTTACTCTATATACAAAGCTAAGTATATTCACTTACCAACTTACATATGACATATGAAATAATCTTTTTTAATAATTTGCTTTGTACCTGACTGTAGATAATTATTTTGGTCTTGATACTGAGGAACCAAATGAAGTGCTTTTAGTTCTCTCGTGCCAGAATTGTCTATACACAGCATTTGTGTACCCCCTTTCAACTGACATATCACCTAAAATGAAAAATAATGATCAGGTTTCATTTTTAAAAGATAACTCGAGTAAAATGACCCTAAATAAACTTAAATCTGAGAAAATAGCTTTAATCCAGAATTCAAGTTATGATGGAAGATAGAAAACTGTAGATCTGTTCTCGATTTCTTATTCTACAATAACATGCTTTCTGAAGATACCACAGGGCAGAAAACCTCCCAGAAGTGTTTCTTGAGCTACGTCAGTGTGCTAATAGAAGTGCCTGCTCCTGTCTTTTTCCACATGTGTCTGGCCATTGAGATTTAGTTGAATGTCAGGGATCATGCACCCACACTTCCTTCACCCTGTCCTTGACTCCACAGTCCACAGCAACAGGACAGTGTGCTGCTCTGCCGAACATCGGGCCTGTCGCACCTGGATAACTCTAAGAGAGACTGTGTCCCCCTGATTCCCTTTCTCTAGCTGGTCACATACTTAGAATAATCTTTAGTGTTACTACAGTTGTTCTTTCCTGCTACATGCACATGCTATTATTTAACACGTGACTTTTTAAAATGTCCATTTATTAAATTTCCTACAAATACAGCTAAGAAAAGTTAATCCAAGAACTGGAAAATTCAAGAATCTTCCTGGGCCTTACTAGCACTGTCAGATCCCAACTTGGATTCCAACCATAAATAAATCTGCAGTGAGCCAGCTGAGACCATCAGTCAATCCCTTGAGTACAGCAAAAGCACTGATGGAGCTCACTGTGTGCCCGGCCCTGGCTCAGGCCATGTGGCATGGACACAAAGGCAAGAGACATGTGGTTCCTGACAGCAAACTGCTGCCAATTCCACAACCAAATGGAAAACCTGTGGTTTCTGCCCTTAAACTGCTTATAATCTAGACAGGAAAACCCAAATAGGCATAAAGGACCAGTGTTATCGAAACAGCACACACAGAGCCTAAGGTAGCAGTAAGGTGCAGATCGCTGGGTCGAAACTTCAGATTATCCTGACATTCAATGAGAGGCCAGCATTGGTGTTCAGGGGGAACTTTGTTTGCATTTGGAGGATAAAGTTATAGCTACACACACACACACACACACACACACACACACTCACCCCTAGGGGAAAGGCTCAGGTGGGCTCTCTAGACCTCTTTCAATTGCACTCTCTTAAATGCCACCTACCCTGGAGCCCTGCCCTGCCCTCTGGGTAGTGTGCCAAGACCACCCTGTAGTCTAGTGGAGTCACAGGGCTCTCATCCTGCTGACCTAATCTGGGGGTCCAGGAAAACTCCACTCTTAGAACCCTTGGCCCCGAGTAAAACCAGACACAGAGGCAAGTACTAGTGTATGCCATGACTAAGCCAAAGTTTGTGATGAGCTCATTTTCAAGTATTTCCTTGTTAAAGTTTATATCTTAGAGCTAGGACCTCATTTCTAGGAAAAAAGAACTGCTGAAGGAAAAGTGTTGGACTCTTAAGTCCTCATCAGAGTGAGATCAGAGTTCTAGATACACCACTCACAACTACAAAGACTAACACAGAGGATGTGCCATTTCAGTTTTCTTATCCATAAAATGGGGATAACAATAATGCCTACCCTATAGAGTTAGGAGGATTAAATGAAATAAGAAAGATGCAAAAATATCACATAAACCACAGATGTGACTGATTGCATATGCTATACAAGTGCTGGTTGTTATCACTAGGAATTTGCAGACATGAAGGAAGGAAGCAGCCTCTGCCCTGAAGCCACAGAACTTCAACCCACCGTCCACCAATATGCCAAGCCCTATGTGCCCCACTATCCCCAACCCAGTGCCCAACCCCCACTTCTGCATGACTGATGTGACTTGTGCTTAATGAAACCAGCAATGTCCTAATCTTTGTTTGATTTGCTAAGATCAAGCAGAAATTAGAATCTTAAAGGTACAAGGCTCTTTCACCGTGTTGAAAAGTTGAGCTCCCTCTTTTCATAGATGAGACAACCAAAAACACTAATTCAATGAGTGAACAGAATGAAAAATGATCAAAAGAATCTAGTGATTTAGTAATGATAAGGGTCCAACATTTAGTATAATGTTAGTCACAAACATTTTCTTTGGCATAATTACCATTGGGCTTGAGTCTTTCTTAGAACAGGCAGTGGTGTCCTCTGGCTCTTGGGAAGATGGGAACTTGCAGCAGGATTCCTGAGCAAGACGGTTCTGAATAGTTGCTTCCTCTGGATTGTTACTTGTGACAGTACCACCTGCTTCCTTTATTTCAACCTAAAAAGAGCAATCATATTTTCAGAGAACACCTGGACATTGGCTCTTGCCGCTGCATGATGTAGAAAATTTAAATTGGAGTTCTCTGTAAGAGTTACAGTTTTTTGTTTTTTTTTTTCCGTGTCTGGCAACGGATCGCAACCCTCAGGGTAGCGCCCGTACCAGACCGGGACCGGCAATGGGATCGCAACCCTCGATGTTGCGTCCGCACCTTGCTCAGCCAGTGAGCAGAACCGGTCTGTATGTGGGATCTGAACCCTCGGCGGGAGCGCCGCCGTGCTCTCAAGCGGCACACTGTAGCAGTGCGCCACCGGGCCGGCCCGAGAGTTACAGTTTAAGGCACAGAGCACCCTTACCCTTAGTGCCTCTCTTCCTCACTGCTGCTTCTAAAGCTATTATTGTCCCTACAGGAGACCAAGCAGGGGCAACAAGCCATCTGATTAACTTCACTGGGGACTGAGGACTCTGAGGACCAAAACCACTTGTCCATGAGGTGTGGAGATGTGATTTTGATGTGGCACTTGTGCTGTTTCGAAAATATGGTCTAAGCAAACAAGAAGAGTCCCCAGTTGGTCACGTGTCTCTCATGCTGCTTAATCACCCCTACTCCAGTGGAGCTGAAAGCCTGCTTGGACCTTTCTGTCACCTGAAATGCCGACCCTTCGTTGCCTATTCTCCAAGGACGCTCATTCGATAGTATTAAATGGTTTTTCCTCAAGAAGCCTGAAGTCCTGGGTGAAGTTTTAGTAAGGATGATGTTTTAGTAATGTTTAAAATGTAATTTATCATTTATAATGTATTTATAGTAACATTTATTATTAAATGGTAGCCCTTTCCTGACTTAATAGTAGGACAATAATATGAAACGTGAGAGCGGGAATAACTGCCTGTTTTGTTTTTAAGTGATCCTCTGCAACAACTGTCAACTCAGTGATACACCAGCAAAATTGCCAAAAATAGGGAGAAATGAAATGATACTACTGAAAAATCAATGGTATTAAAAAACCTAAAAAGTCCCAATGGTTTAAAAAAAAAAACCAAACCCATCAGAATTGAGTGTTTCAAAATTGGGATGCTTCTTTTTAAAGTTTGATGAGAATGTAAGGAAGATCGAGAAACAGCTCACACTTGGCATCATCCCTGCCCGCCCCCTTAACCTCCACCTGCCCAGGCTGGCTGTTAGAGAGCACACGTGAGTCTCCCCAAAGGCCAGGAGGCAGGTCAGAAAGTCCTTCAAAAAAGATGATTCTAAGGTAACATTCTAAAGACCTGACATAAAATCACAGAGCAGGTATCTACCTTTCAAAATGTGGATGTTGACTGAAACTTAAGAGATTGTTTAACCTAAGAAAATCAGAGGCCCAAACAAATAATAACCATTTACTATGTACAAGCAAGCTACTTGCACAGCAGACTAGTATTTAGGTATAAATCTTAAAAGAAATAGAGGAAAGTTTAACTATATTTCAAGTTATAGCTTTATTTAGATATTTCAAACTTTATAGAAGTATAGAAAATCAAAAATTTTCTTCTGCTTTCTGCTTTGGGGAACTTGCCATTCACCTGCCATCAAAGTTTAGATTAATTTACTTCCCGGTAATCAAGAAATACTTAGGTAAAAAATGTATCATGTCCTCAGGCCCATGCAGCTAATATCTGAACTACTTATATTGCAGTAAAATTCTGTTTTTACAGAATGGATCTAAAAGAAGGTCAATATGTGGGAATGAATTTCAAGAAAAAGGAAATTAGCAATTCACCCTGAATAAACATTACTGGAAAGTAATCCCACTCTGCTTAAATAAACATATCCATGCTGTATCTTTTTCATTTTATTAATGAATCAGGAAATAGTCAATAAAAATTCAAAAAGCAGTCTCTTCTTCACTTTGTCAAACCAGCAATCTGTTAAAATTGGAGAATTTTACTATCTTTAATATTAGCTAATTCCCTTCCCTGTTCTGATTATGCTCACTGACTCCTTTGGGAAGGATGGGAGCCAAGCTAGGACCAACAAGCAGAAGGTGCTGGGACATGAGTTCCACTGGGAAGCAAAATGGAGTTTCTAACATTTCAAACCATGTGAAAAAGGTACTAAGGAAGACCTCTGTGCTGGGAGAAGGCTGGGGGGACTAGATGTGCTCTCTGGTTCCGCTAAGGACAAACTGAGAGGACAGCGGAGGCCCCAGCCTCTGCCCCACCTTTTCCTTTACACAAAGGACCAGAGGTGACAATGTAAGAAAACCAGAAATCCAAGCTCCTGCTGCTGTGGCTTAAGAGATATGAAGTCAGACTCCAGCCATCTCAACACTTGTCTCAAAGATGTCCCACTAAGGCTTAATCTATAATGGACAAGTAATCTAGTTTTCCAAGCTGGGTCCTTGTGTGGGGTCAGTGCACATTTTCTTGGAATCCTTTGTTTCCTTCAAAAACTGATTTTGTTTAGTTTCAGCAAGAACAGAACAGAAATTTACCAGTGGTTATCCATAAGCAAAAGAGGGCAGTGAGCTACAGTTAGCAAGAACTTATTTAGACTCTGATTCATATTACATACGCTTCAAGAACAATCACTTATTAGCAAAGGCAAGATTAATATCTTGATTTGAAGGCTTAAAAAACGCAAGTATTAACAGAGTTCTTGCTGTGAATTACAAGACTGATAAATTTAAAGAAAAACATGTGAAATGGAAGCACAAGAGCCCTCCATCATACTGCATTTGTTTTCACTGATGCGAGTTACTCAAACAAATAGGGCTTCTTTCCTGATGCCAATGATAGCAACCGGGCCAGGGCTTAACACACTTTCGAATTTTTTCCCTCTCTTTCCTTGCATGCTATCTGCATGGTTAGGCCAGCCTTGAAGCACTGACCCAGGAGGTAAATCACTTTCAGGAAGAGGGCTTGGCAGGATGGATGGATGCATCTTGGATTACCAAGGGGATGTGCCCTGTCCAAAATTACGGAATCCAGTGAGACGTACTCATACAGAAGGTGCTCAGTTTCCCTGGGTTCGGTTTCAGGACACACCTCTAGGTTTCCAGCCACTCCCTGAGGTCTCAGGTCCCATCCTCTGGACTCTCCCTTGGAGGAAAGGCACTACTGCAAGTTAGACATTTTTCAGCACCAACACTGGGAAAATGAGACCACAGAGGGCTGGTTTATGCTAATCCAGTGGCTGGGCATGCTCAGTAGAGAGCACAGAATATTCTTGAATATGCCAGTGCGTGTATTGCGATTTGACCAATGAACATGCTCCAGGAAGAGACCCACTGAGCACGTGCAAGACTAAATGTTACCTAACTGGGAGCCACCCCTTTAGCTGAATAGAGAAACTGTAGTAACCTAATCTCAGCGGAAGACAGGGCTGTTGCTCACTTTCCTGGAGGCAGCTTGTGCTTTGCAGGCATGGAACTTGCTTTCAGCAAGCGGCTGCTCACTCTTTCGAGTCAGCCTGCACTTTGTACTGAACTTTATTTTTTTCTTGCTTTTGTTAGGCTTGATGTCTGTCCTGAACTTGCTTTTGTCAGCACCACGCTCACCCAGTGATCAAACCGGCCATCCCTATATGGGATCCGAACCCGTGGCATTGGTGTTGTCAGCACCGCACTCTCCCCAGTGAGCCACAGGCCGGCCCCTGAACTTGCTTTTGTCAGCACCACGCTCACCCAGTGATCAAACCGGCCATCCCTATATGGGATCCGAACCCGTGGCATTGGTGTTGTCAGCACCGCACTCTCCCGAGTGAGCCACAGGCCGGCCCCTGAACTTGCTTTTGTGTTAAACTTGGTGCGGGCCCTGCTCAGTCTCCAGAGCTAGGCTGCACTCTCTCCGTAGAACCTGTATTCTTATCTATTTTATTAAATTTGTTCTCATGGTCTGCTGTGACTCTGCCCTTGAATTCTTTCCTGGGGCGGGGTCAAGAACCTGGGAAGGGAACAGAGTGGGTTGACTCTGGGCCCGCGACCCTACCTCCGACCTCAGTAGGATGTGTAACCAGGGACGCTGGTGACCCAGGAAAAACGTTCGCACTGACAAGTCTCGGTACAGACCAGAGGACTCACAGATCAGTCTGGGAAGGGGTCGGGTATGGTGCCCAACTCCCAGGGGGCTCTTACTGGAATCACCTGGACTCCGGCCTGGGCGGCCCCGTCCCTGGCCCAGGCGCCCAGGGGCACGACGTTGGGGCCGCGGTAGGGGGTCAGCAGCGAGGACAGCAAGTGCAGGCAGAAGGCGGGCGGCTGCGGGCCCGCGGGCTCGGGGAGCGCCGGGTGGCCCTGGTCGTCCCCGTCCGCCAGGAGCTCCGCCTTGGCCTCGCTCTTGCCGTCGGCGCCCAGCCCGGGGCTGAACGCGCGCAGCAGGGGCTCCGCGGGCTCGGCGGCGCCCAGGTAGGCGTCCCGGAAGCCGGGGAACTCGGCGTCGTCGTACTGCGCCCCCGCGGGGGCCTTCGGGGCCACGTTTTCAGAGAGAAACGGACTCTCCGGGCTGAAGAGCTCCGTCACCAGGTCGTCGTCCGGGCCGGACATCCCGCCGAGCAGAGGGGCCTCTTCCATGGCGCCGAGGGGACGGCGGGCCGGGCATCGCCCCGCAGCCTGCTCGCGGCGGGTCGGCGGGGGCCGCGCACCTGCAACGACACGGCCCGCTGAGGCGACGAGGCCCCGGCCAGGGGGTGTGTCGTCTCCAGCAGGGCCGGCTGGGGAGGGTGTCCCGGGGACCCCGTCCCCCTCCCCGCCTTGCAGACCCGAGGTCCCCTCAGGGGTACACACCTGGGGCCGCCCTGGCTGCCGAGGGCCCGATGCGGGGACCGGGCGCAGGCCGGGACTCACACGCCCGCGGCCGTTGGCAGTTGGGGAAGTGGGCGGGACTAGGCAGAGGGGCGGGGCTGGGAGCGAAAGGGGCGTGGCCCGGGCTGGGGCGGGCGGGGCCAGACCGGGGAGGGAAGGGACCCGGAGTCCCGCAGGTGCGGGGTGGAAGCCACTCCAGGGGTCAGCCCCTCTAGGCTCAGGTATGGAAACAGGCCCGCGGCGAGTGTGAGGCAGTGCTAGGTGGGACCCCCGAGCTTGACTTCTGACCTCAGTCTTTAAGTAATTTTTTTCAGCCCTCTCAGGACCGCCGCGGGTGGCCAGGGGGTCGGGGGCTTGCACAGGGGCC